ACTGGCAGCCAACCCGGACATAGGCGGAAAGCCATGCGCCCCCCCACCATCCCTGTCAAAAAAGATACACAATACACTTCGCCTTCAAATACGGTGAGGGCATTGGCTAAGGATCCCATGGATAAGGAATCCAGGGTCTCGAAGCCAGTGGAACTTCGATCGTGGATCGGTCGCGGATCTTACCGCCGCCCTTACTAGTAGATAAGGTATCCCACAGGGTCTGAAGCCTCCGGGGCCCATTCCTCAACGAACGCCCCTTCACCGTACAGCGAAGACCCGGCACAGCTGAGACACCAACTCGCCTCGAGGAAGCGGGCCTGACAGCCTCGGCCTGGGCACACTCAGGCCGAAGGCATCCTCACGCCCTGCTGGCTCCAGTGCCGCCCTCTCGGTGGCTCCTCGGTGCACGGACCTCGGCCTGCCAGGAGCCGCTGGCGGTAGCCAAACTGTCCCTGTCTCGCTCGAACGTTGCACGTCTTTGGCAACACCTCGCCGATGCAGGAAGGAGGAGGAGGAGGAGGAGGAGGACGAGGAGGAGGAGGAGGGGGAGGAGGAGGAGGAGGAGGAGGAGGAGGGGGAGGAGGAGGAGGAGGAGGAGGAGGAGGGGGAGGAGGGGGAGGAGACTGTGAGCGGCGAGCCCACGGGGGGGAAGCGAAAAGGTCGGGGGCGCGCAAACATGGATTAGCGATCCATGGATTTAGCGCGCGGCCGCCAGATCCATGGATCGGGGGAGGTGCCCTCCCCAAAGTGCGGCCAGTGCCGCCTCGCTCGGCGGCGGAGATCCGCAGTTTCCCATGGAAGCGGGGCCCGTGGCTAATCCACGCCCCCTTGATCCATGTTTGCGATCGCCTGAAACGGGGAATCTCGCGCGACACATCTGCGGTTAGGTCGGGCATGTCCCACTACAGGCGGATTCTTGACGAGAAATAACAAATACGCAACAAAGATTCCAAAATAGCATCGACAAAAAAATCCAAACATCGTCCCCCGACTATTCTGGACTATTTTGGAGTATTCCCCCCGCAGAGGGACAGGCCCGGCCGAAATCTGCGGTCGGGGGCTCCCGGTGCTGACCAGCAGAGGCTCGAGCACGGGGGCCTCGCACCTGCTGGCCAGGAGGCCGCGCGAGGGCACGCGAAGCCTCGAGCGCGGGAGCCTCCTGCCTGCTGGTCGGGAGGCCGCGCGGGGGCACGAGGCGTCGGACGGCAACCGCCCGGGTGCTGCAGACCCCACTGCGCACCCATGCCGTCGGACCTGGGACGGAAAAAGACCCTGCAACCCAGTCAGCCCGTCTAGCAAGGATGCGCGATGAGGACGTGAGGGCCCTGGGGACCCATTTCGAAGCTTCCCGACCGGGGCGCGGCCAGCGGAAGTGGCCGAGGAGGCAGGGATGCAAGGGTACCTTCGGGAAAGTTGCCCATCCTTACTATTACTATGCGGGTTGACCTTTAACATGAGGCCCTCCGCCGGCCCAAACGGAAGAACACTCGAGGAGACCCCCCTCCGCGATGCACGAGACACCCAAAGACAGGAAGATCATCAGTGCACCCTCCCCGAACCGACCTCGATCTTTTACTTCGGTTCGACTGTACTCCAGATTTCGTAATAAAAGGGAGGGGGTCTGGACCCTCCATGTCAAGCCATTTCAGACCTCCCCCGTGGGAGAACCCTCCAAAACATCGTCCCCAGACCCCTAAGGCCCTCCAAGATAGCCTGGGGGGTCTGGGGACGATGTTTTGGAGGGTTCTCCCACGGGGGAGGTCTGAAATGGCTTGTCTTGGAGGGTCCAGACCCCCTCCCTTTTATTACGAAATCTGGAGTAGTTTCATTCCTCTGTGAACACATGAACTCCACACTGCAGATCTGGGCAGCGAGTGGGGGGGGGGCAAGTGCGAAGGAGAGGGCCTTCTCAGAAGGCGGCGGGGCTTCTCAGAAGCCCTCTGGCCTTCTGAGGGGTTTCCTGTGCCGTCGGGGAATGCTCATAAAACCTCTCAGAAGGCTGGGGGACTTCCGAGCCTTGCGAGAAGGCCTTCTCCTTCTCACTTCCCCCCCCCCCTCGCTCGTCGCCGAACAGCCTCTGATGTCATGTGGTTCGGCTTGCGCACCGCGGAGAAAGGGAAGACAGTCTTGGACGCAAGCAGGAGAGCGGCCGCAGGAGGAAGGCAGAGGAGGGCGCCGCGCTCCGAGCGTGGAGCAGCCAGACCTACAGGGCACAAGAGCACGCTTCGAGCGCACGGGGCCCTCCGCCGGCCAAAAACACTCAGAGCAGCCGGGGGTACCCTCCCCCCCCCGGGATGCACCAGAGCATCCAACAAGCACGACGAACATCAGGGCACCCTCCCCGGAGCGACCTCGGTCTTGTTAGCGCTTCGGGAGGCCCAGGGGCAGGCCACCAGGCAAGAGAAAAGCAGAACACACACGCGCAGTCTCCAGCAGCAGGCGGGGCAGGAGGCGGCGGCGACGGCGGCGGTCGTGCGTTTCTTCTCGGCGCCAGGCGAGGCTGCCGAGACGAGAAGAGGGACAACGAGGGGCCCAGGCGGCGGCGGCGGCGGCGGCGGCAGCGAGCATCGAATGGTCCAGCGACAGAGCTCGGCAAATCAGCAGCGACCGACGGGCGGCGTGGGAACGCTGTCCCCGCCGATGTCAAACAAGGGCCATCCCTCGTGGCTGCCCCTCCAGGACTAGTGGCTTGAACAGGGCGGACGACGATGCGCTAATGCGAGATCGATGAGGCCCAGACGAGTAGGAGGAGGAGGAGAAGGAAGAGAAGGAGGAGGAGGAGGAGGAGGAGGAGGAGGAGGAGGAGGAGGAGGAGGAGGAGGAGGAGGAGGAGGAGGAGGGAGGAGGGAGGAGGAGGAGGGAGGAGGAGGAGGAGGAGGAGGAGGAGGAGGAGGAGGGAGGGAGGAGGTGGACGAGGAGGAGGAGGAGGAGGAGGAGGAGGAGGAGGACGAGGAGGAGGAGGAGGAGGAGGAGGAGGAGGAGGAGGAGGAGGAGGAGGAGGAGGAGGGGGGCGTCACTCAGGGTGCCCTCACGCAGCAATGCCTCAGTCAATGGGGGCCAACGCCTCGTCGCCACAGTCCGGCGTGACGCGACGAGCGAGAACTTCTCGCTAGCCGTGTCACGCACCTCGTCGCCACAGTCCGACGCGACACGACGAGCGAGAACTTCCCGTGACGTTGGGGGGCCGTGCCGCCCTCGCGGCCACTCCCTGGGGGGCAAAAGGGTCCCGATTGCGTAGCTCCCCTCCTCCTCCTTCTCCTCCTCCTCCTCCTCCTCCTCCTCCTCCTCCTCCTCCTCCTCCTCCGGACCCATCCTGGACTGAAATACACTCGGGAAACATGCCGTGGCGACGGGGGCTCTCCAGGACGAGCAGCGACATCGGCATCCCTTCCTCCCCCGAACTCCGCCACGCGTTCAGAAGCCTCCTGGATGGGGTCCGAGTAGATGGGGTCGGAGGATCGCGCCGCATCGTCGATGCATCGCCGATGCAACGTCGACATCGGCGATGCATCGGCGACGTCGGCGTGGAGAAAGTCGGGCTGCACATCGAGCCGCATCGCCGATGCATCGCCGATGCAGCGCGCTTCTCCGACCCCATCTACTCGGACCTCACCGAGGAGGCCTAGAGCGCTCCCCCTCCGCGGCCCCCTCCGTCGACGTTGAAGCCGCCCCCGAGGTGGAGGTTGATGTTGTCGTCGAAGAAGAACACGCGGACGGCCTGAGGAGCCGCGGCGGCGCGGCTGCACGGTTTCCCCCGGGGCCGCAGGCGACCCGAGGAGGAGGAGGAGGAGGAGGAGGAGGAGGAGGAGGAGGAGGAGGAGGAGGTGGAGGAGGGGAAGGGGGAGGAGGAGATGGAGGAGATGGAGGAGGAGGAGGAGGAGGAGGAGGAGGAGGAGGAGGAGGAGGAGGAGGAGGAGGAGGAGGGAGGAGGGAGGAGGGAGGAGTAGGAGTAGGAGTAGAAGTCAAGTAAGCCAGCTCGAGCGAGTCAAGCATGGCATGCCCATTCCCAGCCGCCCTCCCACAACATGAGAAACAGTGCTGACGCAACTGAGGGCCGAAATCAGATCGGCAAGGTGGTTTGGCACAGCTGATGCAGCCGCGATGGCGGTTATCGATGGGAAATCCCCGGCGCGTCTCAGAGGCTGCGCTGGCATTTTAGCACGAGCCGAGGATGTCCCAGGAGGCCCCAGGAAGCCTCAGGAGGTCCCAGGAGGCCTCAGGAGGCCCCAGAATGTTGCAGGAAGCCCCAGCGAACCTCAGGAGGCCCTAGGAGGCCCCATGAGGCTTCGGGAAACCCTAGGAGGTGTCAGGAAGCAGTGGGGACTCCTAGGAAGCCCCAGGAGGCCTCAGGAGGCCCCAGGAGGATCCACGAGGCCCTGGGACGCCCCGGGAAGCCCGACGAATTGGCGAGCTGGAGGCCCAAGGAAGCCTCCAGGAGAATCCACGAGGCCCTGGGCTGGCGGCCCAACGGAGGCGCAGTGTTCAGAATCCCACAGGGGGGCGGGAGGGCACCAAGATGGCCCCTGGAGGAGTCACGGCATTCTACCCTTTGGCGGCGCGCAGAGGGGAGCATGGGGGAGGGGGAAAGGCTTCGTAGAAGGAGGCTACTTCTGGGAAGGCGCGGGCATTGCATCTGCAGACAATACCCGCGCCGTCCAAGAGGCAGGGGTGCTTGTGAGAAGCCTTCCCCCCTATCCCCCTTATCCCCCTTCTGCACGTGGCCGAACCCCGCACCGAGGCCCCAGACCATCACGGTGGCAACGGCACGGCACGGCACGGCACGGCACGGCACGGCACGGCACCACCACATCGCGCTTCGGACACCTCGATGCATACCCCTGCACGGCACGGCACGGCCGCACGGCACAGCACATGCCGCTCCTGGCACCCGTATGCCAGGCCAAGGCGCGGCACCTCTGGCCCCCAGATCGCGTGCTGGAACCCTCGACGGCCCCTGGGACGGCATGGCACAGCGCCACGGCACCTCCAGGTAGCAAGATCACGGGTCTTCGCCATGACGGCCTTCCTTAACAAAAGACTCGACAAAAACCCTTACAGTTCTTGCAGCCTCCTGGGGGAAGGACATCTCTGTTCCTGCGTGCATGGCAACCGTGGTTCCGCCGCATGATCCCGTGAGCCGTGCGTACGTGTCGCCGCGCTTCTATGTCGACGGACCTGCTCTTGCAGTCGGGGCATGCGCGGCTTGCGCATATAAAAAAGTTGGCGGCCACATGAAAAGTTTGCGCCTCCCTGCTATCTTACACCTCCAGAGGAACAAGAGGTACTACCTGAGACTTCGGATGGCACCCTTCACATACCCTCCGAGACCTCTCGCGGGGTGCTCATAAGATCTCGGAGGGGATACCTTCACTCTCAAGCTGCCCTGCACCAGGCCCGCACCGTTCTTCATTTCCAGAGGTAGCTCGCCGTCGAAGCCGCTTCTGACCTGATCGGCTGACACGCAGGCCCTGCCGAGGAAATCTCCAGTCAACCCCTTGATGTCCTCGTCGAAGATGGTGAAGACAAGGCAGTCGCCGTCGGAGTAGGCAAAAAATGTGAACGTGCTGTTCCAAACGGGATCCAAGTCGTTCGCCACTGTCTTGGTCTTCCGCTTGCTGATCTTCTTGCCCTTCTTGCTGCTCTCCAGCTCGACCAAGCAATACGGGTCGGACTTGCCAAAGAGGTCCGCGTTCTTCAACCCAGACGCGCCCACGACGGTGACATCGACTGGCGTCAGGGCCCCACCTGGGGTGACGAACAGCTACCGATACCGCTACACCCAGACCTAGGACAGACGAAGATCCTTCAAGCACACGAGACCCCCCGCCACCCAAACCGAAGAACACTCGCGGGTGCCCTCCCCCAGGATGCACAAGAACGCCCAACAGGCACGACGAACATGAGGGCACTCTCCCCGAACCGACCTCGACCTCATACCTCGGTCCGACCGCACCGCCACTACTCCACAGGACCTCTCCCCGGGTGCCTTCCGACCAGAGCGCGAAGGAGAATCCAGCCAAGGCGACGAGAGGGCTCTCTCCAGGCCGAGGAGAGGGATCGGTACCTGACCCGCGTTGAGGGGCAACGATAGGGGGTGATGGGCATAGGGGGGGGAAAAACATCGACTTCGAGTGGGCGACACATCGACGATCGATCGGCGACAGGCCCACGACGGTGAAACCGCACGTTCCTGGGCAGGTTGGGGCTATCGGGCCCATCTCGGCGATCAATGGGCGATTGGGGCGTATCCCCCCCTGTCGTTGCCCCTGACTCCTCCAGCCACCTTCGAGGCTCCTCTCGACCACCGCGGTGGTGAAGTCGTCGGCGATCAGGTTCTTGTGGTCTATCGCGCCCGGAGCCTGGGGGGCGCTTGATTTAGATCGGGTATGTCCCCCTACAGGGGGATTTTGAGCGACAGATAAAAAGCACTCCAAACATACGCAACAACGATTCAAAATTTGTCCAAAAAAAACGTCCCTAGACTATTTGTTCTACTATCTTGGAATATCCCCCCTGTAGAGGGACAGGCCCGACTTCACGCTTGAAGAGTACACCACGTCGTCTGATCAGCTGAGGAGCTCGGTGTAAAGACGCCCCAGCTGCCCAACCCGGAGGACATTGGAGCGTCCATACGCCGCAGGTCCTTCGCCGAACTCGTGGGCTCTCTGGCCGACCAAACAACGCGGTGCATGAATCGAGCCCCTCGGAGGGCCTCCACGAGCTCGATCTGGTGGCCCGCTGCCCTCCAAGCCTCGGCGCACGCGAGGATACTGTCTCGGGTGATGGTGCCGTCGCCCGGGCAGGTCTCGGCGCACCTGGCCCGCGTGTCCAGCTCCTCGCTGGCATACTCGAACCTGCAGGGCGTGTCGATGCCCGAGCTGTAGATTATCATTGTTGGGACCTCTTGCCAGCAACGAACCTATCCACAGCCAGGCCCTCGCGGTCTGGATTCCGGGGCGCGATCCCGTGGATACGCGGTCGCATGCAAACGCTCCGCGCAGGGCGTCCGCGGAGAAAGACTCCATATCCATGGGGTCGCCGCTCAGGAGCCTGGCCCGCTAGGCAATGGATATGGATAAGTTTCCAGCCCGCAGAACCTCTGGGGCCTTCATGCTGCTGGCGATCCTCTGGAAGCCAGGCCAAAGTGCGGGGCCGGTGTCCCGGCCGGGTATCTGCTGGGCGAGGTCGTCGAGAAAAGCGCCCATGTCCGAGAGCTTGTACTCCTTCTGGGGTGTCCTCGCGAAGACGTGGTCCTTCGGATAGGGCGCGACACCCCCCACTGCGGTGGGCATCTCTCCTATCATGCAGGCCCAGGTGGCAGCGATGTCCCCGATCACCTGCTCGCCGAAATGGCTGGGAAGGATGGAGGTCTCCTGCGCCAGGAACGGAGCGTGCCCAAAGCTCGGGATCATGGTCGGTGAGCCTGTCTGCTAGGAAAGAACCAAGTCCTGGGGACACAGGTCCTGAACTCTGGGGCTTCCCTGGGCCCAGCTTGTCATCCTGAGCCGTTTCTGAGGAGTCCCATGAACCGAAAGAGGAACCCCGGAGCCCCCATAATTGAAAAATAAGTGCAGGACCCAGTTCCCTCAGGGTCCCTTGTCTTCATTGCGACCTGTGTGAGCGGGTGCCACCAGGATGACCCGTTCGAGGTGCACCTGCTGCCATTTCTTCCCCAGCTTGCCGAGGCAGTACAGGAGGAGAGGTGCCCCCATGGAGTGGCCGACCACCGCTGCCTCTTTTGTTTGATTGCACGTGTTTATACTGCGACTGGACACTTGTGATATAATATGTCATATATATACACGTGCACACATGTTCACCCCTGAAATGATGTTTCGACCACCGCCGCCTTTTTACCTGAGTGGCAGTCCTGCTCCAAGCTGGTCAATATCTTCTTCTCGAGGAGGCCTACCAGCTCCTCTGCGTAGACACAGTCGCCCCACCTGCGCCAGTCGTAGTTGAACGCGTGGCAATTGAAAGTCTCCTCCAGGTCATCGATAAAGCCATCCCATACCGACACTGGCACAACCTCGCCAGGGTTCAAAGTTCTGATCCCCGCGGTCCCTTGCACGGGCCGCACGGTGCTGTCCACAGAGGCCGTCATCTTCACAGCCGTGCCGTCCTTGAGCTTTCCATCAACCAGCTTGAGCCTCAGGCTGTTGAGAGTGGCCTTCGGCTTGGAGACGAGCGCATCGATACTACAATAGCTTACCTCGTCGCGACCCAGGCCTGGAACACAACAGCCGTCGCGCTGCACGCGCCGCGTGAGAGCGCTCGACGCGAGTCCAGCGACGCAAATGATGGTCTTTTGGCCGCGCTCCTTCTTCGAGTCGTTCCAGGAGTTGTACTTCGGCCCGGTCTTGGGCTTGGGCGCGGTCCCGAAGCATCCTCCGAAGCATCCTCCGAAGCATCCCCCGCTGGAGGCTCCACTGGCTCCCTTTCCTGGCATCGGGCCTAGGCGACGAGACGTATCAACCAAGCTGGAGGTCACGTCGCTTTCGGAGGTCCTCGTCCGACAGGACGAGGAGGGCGACGACAAGACCGGCCCCTGAGAAGCAGGTGGAGGATACTTGGAACTCAGGGGCAAGGACCTTCGACAGCTTCTACCTGAGCCAAAGCAGGCAGGAGGAGAAGGAGCGGAATAAAGGTAAGTTTCGAAGGCTGCGACATCGCCCTTGGAGCTTGTCCTGGGACTGCGACGGGTTTCAACTGGCCCCGCCTGGCTGGAAAACGGCCTCACGCTCCCCCAAGGGGCCCCACACTCCCTCAAGAAGATGCCCACAAGATCTGGGGCGTTCCTCAGTTACCCTCGTCATGGCTTCAAGACGCCCTTCGACAGCCCCAGTGGGCTCCCCCAAAAAGCTCCCGGCAGGGCCCTGGAGAGCCCAAGTTAGTGACACACATTGCACTGCTTCTCTGTCTGCTCCATGAAGCCAAGGCGCGGATCATGAAAAGTGCCAGCTTCCCCACTGAGGGAATAGGGGGCTCCACCACTCGAAGCTCCAGCCACAGAGGAGAAGGAAGACAAGGAGCATGAGAGGGGGAGGGAGAACACACACTACGCTGCTTCTGCCTTGCCACCCTCCCCGTCGCTCATGATGGCTGCGAGAATGCCTCAAGAACGCCCTTGTTTGACGCCTGCACGCGTGAAGACACGTGCCACACGCATACGTGACAGACGCGTGTCGGGCCACCCCTCCGCGCACGCACTCACGAATGACATGCTCAACATCTGCACATCGTTATCGTGATGTTGCGGGAGCATGTATCTTGACTAAGTCGCAATGCCACGCACGATCACATTACAAATGCTTAGTTCAATCAGATCTCATCGTTTCACGTTCTCACATTAAACTCTCAGTGGATACATCAAGCTATCATTCATGACAAATCTGAGAGCCAGTAGGTCAGCCCCATGTCCTAATCTATGTCTTGAGTTCATGAGGTGAAGTTGGAATGAAGTATTGCGTTGCCACATGCTGGTGTGATCGAACTTCGCAGCGTAATCACATCGTATGCTATTTGACAAGGCCACGTAGCTTGCTCACGTTGAACACTTTCTTTAATTATATACCCTTGATGGGAGCCCACATTAAATGAAGTGGCGACGTACTTCGTGCGTTGGGTTTGATAGTCCCCTTGGCCAACGACTATGTATTAACATTGCGTTCGTGGCTTAGAAGAGGACGCATGGAAGTGGATCTGAGACGAGCTGGACGGGAAATAGACATTAATGGAAGCTGGACGTAGATAAGAGTATGACTCGTCACACCTAAATTGAACATGCACTCCACGTACAAGGCGGATGAGGAGGGTGAACCTGCAAACGAAGGAAGAGACGAATAAGAGCCACGACTAAATGCACATTTCAACAACTTAGCATTACCCAGCAGCTACAAACCAAGTGCTGAACCAGAAGCGACAGGTTACAGCTTACGACATGCCGTGGCCAATGTGTATATATATATATATATATAAGCAAGTACCGATACGCCAGATATATGAACAGCAGCTAAGGAAATACATGCCTGGGTCGTACTATGTGTAATTGGTGGCTCTGCAGCGTTATACTGTAACCTTCATCAGAACGAAGGACAGTGTTCAACATGTGTACACAACACCTGAACTTGAACCGAACCGGACGTGTAAAGAGTCTGGCGCCCCCGTGTCTGCTGCCTCCCGCTGGAGCCTGCACGCGTGAAAGCACGTGCCAGATGCACGCGTGCAGGACGCGTGTTCGACCCCCCCCCATCCGCGCTTGGTCTCCAGGCTGCTCCTGACGACCCCCCAGCGGGCCACGAAGTCCCCCACCCCCGAGGGCCCGAAGGAGGACCCGTGAAGGCCCAGAGGCAGCCAAAGGCTGGCACTGGACGGCACTCGCCATCGCTCGGACGTCCATTCCCTGTGCTTTTTTCGGTTTCGTGCGTGGTATTTTCGCCAAGTGATCAAGGATGCTCCTCGATGGTCCTCGCCGAAGAAAAAATTCACAAGTCCGAGCGATGCCAAGGGCACCAAGGCAGCCCCGGGCGGCTCCAGAACAGCCAGGAGAGCTCCCGAACCGCCGCTAGTCGCCAGGACGGCAGCAGGACCCCCCAGCAAGCCCCCAGGAGACTCCGACCAGGGCCTCCAAAATGCTTAGGATAGTCATGAGCACTGCGTCTGTCAACTGTGCCCTCCACCTCCCAACTCTCCTGTTCCACGGGGGCTTCTAGAAAGCCTCGCCATGGCTCCAGAAAGTTCCGCACAGGGCCCCGAGACGGCCCGAGCACAGCCCAAGAATCCCACGACGGAGCCAAGACCACTGATACGCCCTCAGCAGGCTCCCCCTAGCGCGGTCGGCATATTGCAGTCGTGGACGACGGAGCATGATGTAAACAAGGAGCGGCAGGGTCATGCAGGTCAAATCTGGACGGGCATACGTGGCGTGGTGTCACTTGGCCTTCTGCCGAGCACTCGAAAGTACAATCAAGCACGCCCCTCAATCGGTCCTCGAGATTCCCGAATCGGCCCCGATAACGCCACTAGACAACCCTAAACCTCGCCAGTCGCCATCCGACGGGGCCCAAACAGGGTCAAGACAACCCCAATAATGCCTGAGGACCCCTCCAGACGGCACCTACAGGATCATACGGTATCACTTCGGAGGAGCTTGGTAGAACCATGGCGCCCCAGACGGCAAAAGAGCGTTATGGTTGCTCGCGTGGTCCCAGTCCCACCCGTATAAACATGGTGCAAACAACATCAAAACCTGAACGCGCCTCGATGCAGATCAGTCATGCTGGCGGGACTTGCAAGAAGCAGTTGGAAATGTTCCTCTTGTACTTGCAATTTACATGCGCCACTCGCACGTCCCATTGCCCTTGCGTCTACCTGTTTTGCGACTTCCTTTGTCTCTGTGCATCTGTACATGTCTCTGGTTATGGCTCTTCTCCGTCTCTGACTCCGTCTTTGCCTCTGCCGTGTCGCTGCCTCTGCTACTGTCTGTGCCCATCCTACCTGCATGCAGCACGCCTGTCTCCGCCTCAGTCTACCTCGTCCCTCTCTTTTTGTTTCTCTCTCTCTCTCTCTTTTTCCCTCTCTCCCTCGCCCTCTCTCGCTGGCTTCCCCTAGCTCCTCCTCACTTCACCTTTTCGTCTTACGGTCCGTAGCGAAGACGCAGCACCTCGCCTGGCCAATGTCGTCAGGTCCCCCAGCCCTCACTGCGGGAATGACCTCCGTCGGGGATGATATGAAGAAGGCCGCGTTTGCAAAAAAGCACTGCAGGGGGCATGGCAGGACGGAGGGAAGGATCGAGAAGACGATAACCAAAAGCTCGAAGGCTTCTGGCGAGGTGAATGACAAATCGAACACATGCAGCAAATGGATAAATGGGAAGATCGCCACTTGAAAGACTAAGAGGATTCGCTCCGTGGTAATTCTGGATTTCTGACCGTCGCCGTTTCAATACAGTGTTCCGAGTGGGCCCGTCCTTGGGGATCATTGGGGCCCCTGTAAGTCCGTCTGGGGGCCTGTTGGATTGTCTCGAGGCCCTCTCAAGCCGTCTCGGGCCCCACCTTGGTAGAATCAGGACGGAAGCTCTTCATACGTGTTGTCACATCCGGGCCCCCACTGGGCCCCGGGACCTTCAAAAACGACTCACGATGAGAAACCGGCCCTGTGGAAAGAGTCGGGACTTCTGGGGGCCCCGTACATAAAGAACAAGACATCGGATGTGTGGGTTGGCAACATCGTCATGGCTCTGCCACGGCCTGTCGCGCTCGTCTGTCGTTGCCCTTTCGCGGCACGTCGTCTTCGTCTGTCGTGACAGGGTTGGGAAGATCGCCAGGGGCCATCGGGGTCCCTCGGGCCTGCCAGCCGCGGCAGGCGGGGCGGTCGGAGTCGGCTCTGTCCCAACATCTCACCCCTGCCTGTCGACAGCGCCCAGCCTCCCCTCCTTCCGCCCCCCCCAACTTCGAATGCATATCCTCCCCCATCCTAACTACTGTGCGCTGCCTCTCAGGGCAACGACGTCGTGGCGCACATCACCATGCAAACGCGGACAACAAGAAGGCGACGAACAGGAAGACAGGGCAACACCCTTTCCTCCTGAGGCCCTGACAGTCAGTCGTTAGCACGAAGGCCCAGCCCTAACCCTAAGACCCCAACGCCAAAGACCTAAAGCCCAGCTGCCCCAATTCTGGCCTGAATCCCGAGCCACGACCCTGAGACCCTGACCCTAAGGCCCTAGCCCGAACGCCCCAGCCCTAAGACCTAAGCCCCGCAACCTAACAACCCAACTCTCACACCCGACATGCCTCCTCGAAATCCGACGAAAGTTTTTCGCGCGACGTGGCGGCGCCCCAAGGTCAACAACATGTCAATGTTCACGCCGGAATTGGCGACTGCAAACGCACAAATCTGGCCTCATGGGCCGCGTTTCGCGCGTCGGCCAACATCAGCAACTTGCGATTGACTTCGAGGAGGGTTCTAACCCCAGCCCTTCCCTCCTGCCGCTGCTCGCGGGATCCCTGGCCCCAACCTTGGCGGCGCCATTCGTCTTCCGGGCATTCCTGGGGTCGCGGGGACGCGTGGCGGCGCGCTCGCCGGGGAGACAGGTGGGGCGCCTCCCCACCCCCAAATGCTTGTTCCTCCTCGTTCTCTGCCTCCTCCTCCTCCTCCTCCTCCTCCTCCTCCTCCTCCTCTCCTCCTTCTCCTCCTCCCCCTGCCCCTCCTGAGTGCACCTCCTCTTCCTCCTGCTCCTGCTCCTGCTCCTGCTCCTCCTCCTCCTCCTCGTTCCCTCCCTCGTACCCCCACCCCGTCCTTCTCCAGCAGCCCCTCCCCAACCAAAAGGGTTCCTTCTTCAGGGCCCCAACTGTAGAGGGAGGGAGGGAGGGAGCGGAGGGAAAGGAAGAGGAGGGAGACCGGAGACTGGAGACTGTGAGCAGACCATGCTTCCCAGCGCATTCCCAACCAACGGATCGAGGAAGGGTGAGAAGACCACGTCGGCCGTGACTCGCTGCCCACCCGAAACGGCTTGGTGCGTGGGATGGCAGGGTCCCCTGAAACCTTCACCGTTACTTCAGGTTCCTTGGCCAGGATAACCACTACCAACCCTGCCGAATCGAGTGGCATGCGCAACTGAACTGTACGAATACGACCAGCCCAGGGAGGGTGGGCACAAGGTCCCAT